AATTTCAATTTACAGATACATGTTCACTGAATACCTTACAGAAACGTATTTTGATATATTTTGGTAAAGTGATCTTGTATCACATGCATGCACACACCAATACAGATATGCACACTGCAATATTCTTAATGTCATCTTAATTGTTTTATAACCCTTCACGCAGAACTTTTCCCTGGCAGTTCAAGAAAGACATTTGGATCACTAACACAAAAAAGAAAATGTCTGATATCGAGAATATTTAACATCAAAAAACATAAAGAAAAAAATGAATTATTTTTAATAATATGTGGAAACCTCCACCTTTTGCCTGATGATGGTCGTGAGACTGGAAACACATGTAGCAAAATTATGGAAAATAAAACATAATATTTTTTTTAAAATCCACGTTACAACCAAAAAAGTTTGCGGCTTCTCTCTTCTTTTTAATATATAAATATATATATATATGTGTGTGTGTATGTGTGCAAAATTATCTGAAAGTTAGAAAAAGCTTTAACAACAGGATTATGAGAAATTGAATTTATAAAAAATCTGGTTTGAAAAATTGTCACTTATTGATGACATTTCATACTGAAATCCTTGTGAGTGGCCTGGATAGATTCGAGGGCAGCCTATGAAACCTTTACACAGGCCCTGAGTGTATTGTATATTACAAGCTCCTTCCACAAATGCAGGCATTGAATTCATACAAGTACTGTTCCTAATTGTACTGATTAAAGTAAACAATCAATGAAAAGTATTTCTGGAATTGGCTAATTGAAAGAGCATTGTCTTCCATCAGGTCAACGCAAGACCTCAAACTCTTTGCAGATCTTGCAGAAATGGGTACAGCTTAGCTAAGATATCCTACTACACCTGCTATATTCACCTGACCCTGCACTTTTGTATTAACACTTATTTCAGTTTTTTCTAAATTCTAAATGGGAAGAACTTCAGTTCTCTGGAAGCCTGTAAAAACCACTTAGACCATTTTACCACCCAGGAAGATGTCAAGTTCTGGGAGGATAGTTTCATGAATCTACCTCAAAGATGGCAAAAGGTAGTGGAATATAATGGTATAAATGCTGTTAAATAAATTGATATATAAATATTGTCTTTGAATTTCTCTTAAAACATTATGTTCTTGTGTTATTAACCAATAGTTTAAATGCATTTCTGTTGAAATAAAAGTCTTCTGATTTAGGTTTGTATGAAATTATCCAATTTTTTTTTTTTCGTCCTATCTCTATTTTTATTATGTGTGATAGACAAATATGAATTTGATCATGAATGATGAGACCCACAGACTCAATTTAATATTCTTCCTGAATTTGTTTATTCAAGATTAACTCCAAAGTCCCCACTGATTGTCTTCATGCTTCAAGTCTTAAGGGTTTAGAAAATTGTTCAAATAATTAACTTCAGATCAGAGAGCAGTGAATGATGAGTGGGTAGACTGCTGAGGATAATCAAAATGATCAGTTGTTATGAAGTTTTAGGATGATATTACAAGCCAATGTCATGATGAAGACAGCGCCAGATTCAGAAGCCTCTTTAAGAAAATGATGCATGGTGACAAGGATGTTGAAATCCTGCTTAAGCTGAAGGACATGCTTTAAGCATATTAATAGTTTAGTGGATAGTACTGAAGAGAGTGTTCCTTGATTTGTGCTTGATCATTTTGTTTCAAAAATTGTGAAACACTGTAGATGAATGTTTCTATCTCATTACCTTAATTCGGATCAGTAAATTCATTTTATAGAATATTTTCTTATAATTTAATGGTAATAGTAATAATAGCCATTTCCCTACAAGGAAACATTTAGCATTCACTGATTCAGCAGCCATTTGGTTGAAATTTATAAAATCTTTCTTTTAAAACAATTTTTACAGTTTCTCAAGTCCAGTGACTGTTATCACTCTTTTCAGTATTGATGGAGTGTTTCCTTCTTAACCTTAATGGAAAGAATTTCTATCTTCTAGGTAAACATTTACATTTAAAGAAGCTTGTACTACTGTTAGTTGAAATCTATAAAATTTTTTTCTTGAAATAATTTTTCAGGAAAATAGGTTTCTCAAGTCCAGTAGCTGTTATCGTTCTTCCCAGTACTGATCGGAGTTTCCTCCCAAACATTTTATTTGAAGTAGTGAGAAACGTAAACATTTTGATCATGTCATTATTTTCTCTTCAAGTTACATGTACTATCCATTTTCGGTTTTGCTGCTGTTGGTAGTCCTCAAGTGATGCAGTTTTTATTATTTGGTACAGTTACCAGTCCAAATTCTACAAAATTCAGTTCTGACTGCCTGTTTTGATTCAACGACAGATTATGTAACATTCCTGATTGAACTGCTCAGAGTAATCAGTTCTTGTTTGTTCGTTATTGTGAATTACACATCATATATTAACTCAGTGGAGAAAACAAATAAATGTTGTATAAACTGTAATGAAAATGACCAGAAATGTGAGATAAAAAATGATACTCTAATTAAAAGAGAAAATAAATAAACTAAGATGAAAATGTCTAGAAAGTGCTTTCATCGCTAGTTCAGCCACAGTAAATTTGTGTCCTGGTTCTTACAACATTTCACCATTCCTGGCAGATTTTCTGTTAACATAATGTGGGATATTTTATAACAAAGGTGATGGAAACTAAAAGAAAAATAGTCTAAATGAAATGGGCCTGATTTTATGGGGAAAAAAATTCTATCTAAAATTTGAAACTCCCAGCATCTCTCATTTATGCAAATGTGAACAAACCCAGAAGTCCTAACAGAAGAAACACATCACAGAAACTTTTTCCTTTTTGTCATATATATATATATATATATATATATATATATATATATATATATGTACATGCATGTACATGGGCAAAAAGTGAGATGCTGCTTTTTGTTCCTCCATATATAGATTTTTAGCCACCAACGTAAATTTTCTTTGTTTTGGTTTCCCCCCCACCACCACCACCAATCTTAACCCAGCAGAAAAGAGATGTCAATTTAACAAGTAATGTTTTTGAAATCAAGTGAAAGACATTACTATCTTATTCAGTATTAACTTGTAAAGTGAAATACAAATTTATGACAATCTACTCAGACATTAGCTATACATTATAACTGGTGAAAGCAAATAACATTACTATTCACTCTGTCTGCTGGCTTTAAATGGGAATCCTATTCAACCCAAATCTGATCTCTTCAATACAATTCAGTTTCACTTGCAATTTTAATCTATAATTATTAGCAGAAAATGGTAATTACTGCTTTGAATATTAAATATACCACACAAGAATGAACAGTTATGTATGCATGAAGATATCTCTGCAGTTTCTTTTCTCAAGATGCTAAAAGAATTGTCTGATGCAAGCAATGACTGTTGATGCTATCATGAGAATATTGTGGATGAAATATGAAACAAAAAATATTGATTCCAATGAATGTCTGAATTATTAGGAAGTCTCACTTATCAAGAACATATGTGCAAAGCTATTACGAGAATATAAAACTGATAAAATTAACAACATATTGCACATAGCCAGACTGTGTTTGCAAATATATTGTCATTAACAACAATCTTCAATGAATCTATTTGTTTGCTTGATTTGTAATCAAGCAAACAAATAGATTCATTGAAAATTGTCATTATTATACAGCATAATAATATAAAAGGATTTCTTCTTGAAGAAAATACATATAGGTGCCTCAGCATGGAGCAATGGTTAATGAAGATAGCCTGGTTAACCATAATAATTGAGTAATGAGTTTAATCCACACTAGGTGCCTGAACATTTGAAAGGGTTGACATGGCAGAAAATCAACCAACCTAACCAAAACACAACAGAGGGAAATCAGATTGGATTTCAACAATATGACACACTCTCTCTTCCTCTCTATCTCTCCTCTGACATCTCTCTCCTCCCACATATCTGTATCTCGTCTCGCAACTCCAACTTAACACACTATATCTCTTCTCTCACATCTCACTCATCCCACATATCTCTCTCTCTTTATCTCTCCTCCAACATATTTCTATCTATCTCTCTCTCTGCCCTCCCACATATTTCTCTCTCTTCCCTCCCACATATTTCTCTCTCTCTGTATATATATATATATATATATATATATATATATATTGTAGAAATTTGCTATATTCATAAGAGTGAAGAGTGTTAAGTATCAGAGAGAGAAAAAGGGTGTTTATAGATATGGACAGTGTGGACATAGGAATCAGCATCATATGGTGACTTGCAGCTTCATGCATCAATGCAATTATGAGACCAAGTGCCACTATTCCTTTAGCAGCTAAAGAAGTAGTGACACAGTTTAAACTCAGCATTTGGGTATGAAAGTGGCAATCACAATAAAGTGTTGATTCCTTTGCCAATATTGTCTATACCTATAAATGCTCTATCTCCAATATTGACTACACTTCCTCTATAAATATAGTAAATTTTAAACCATATTTTTATTTTTATCTATATGTATGTATGTGCATGTATGTGTGTTTAGATTCATTTTTCTCTTTTTTAGTAATTTTTACTTTTCTATAAAACTCACTTTAAAATGAAATGGTGAAACTAATATTGGACAGTCATGATGGTATATAATTTGTGGGTTTTTTTCTAAATTTTTTCTACTTCCCAAACTTGAAACTCCTCAGGAAAAGCATAAAAATAAAATGTAAATTTAAAAATTATTCATATGATTGTATGTGTGTACATGTTTCAGTAATTTTTATTTATCAGCAATTTTCTTCCATCCCTCACTCAATATTCCAATGCTATAAATGCTGTCAAATCATCTGTCTTAGTTGAGAGAGAAAAAGAAAGATGGTAACTGACATATTGTTCTGAAACAATCTTGGAGTTAATGGTCACTAACACAATGATGAAATGAAAATAGAAAGAGGAATGTTTACATCAAAATATCTATGACTGGTTTCAACATGGCTGATTTCAATAGGCTGGCATAATTTTTCAATTTGCAGACCTTTCCTCCTCCTCCATCTTTTCCCCATAATGTTCATTCATTCATTCATACTGAATGATTTTTTTTCATTTCTATCTTGTTTCTTTCCTGCTTCTATTGTTTTTATTATTTTATCTTTTGTTATTTATAATTGTCTTTCTCTAACCCATACAGAGTTTTTCCTTCTTTTTTTTTATTTATCCCTTACTCACATTTAAATCTTATTTTTCATACCATTTTCTAATATTTTTTTATTCTGATTAACTAATTCTCATTTCTGTTTTTTCATATTTTTTCCTTTCACTCACATTCATTCTTGCTTATTTTTTGTTTCCTTTCCACTTTTTTTTCCTAATTTTGTCTTTATTTCACCACATCTATTTCTTTTTTTTCTTCAATTTTTAATCTATCCTTTCTTTTTTGTATCCATATATATAGACTTTATTTTTTCTCCTTTTTTTCTAATATTTCCCCTACAGTTTCTTTTTGTTTCTATTGCATACTTATCTTCCTTTATCCCTTCTTTCCTTTATCTCTCCCTCTCCATTTCATGCCTTCCACCGTTTCTTTCTTCTTTCTTTGTATTCTAAACTTTCTTTCCTTCCTTTGGTTTCTCCTCTAACCCTCCCTTCTTTCCTTTCTTGCTTCCTTCCCATATCCCCTCCTTCCTTTATTTCTCCCTTATCACTTTATTCCTTCTTCCCTGCATTCTATCTATCTATCTATCTATCTATCTATCTCTTTCTTTCTTCCTTCCTTCCTCTCCTTCCTTCCTTCCTTTCTTCCTTCCTTCCTCTCTTCTCCTTCCTTCCTTCCTTCCTTCCTTCCTCAGTTCCTCTCACTCTTCCTTACTTCCTGTATAATTTTTATTTCTAATTCTTTATTCCTTTCAGTTTCATTTTCAATTTTTCTTTACTTTTTCTCTTAAATATCAAAACTTATTCCCACATTCTCGTAATTTCATTCAGCTTTTTTTCATCATGCTATTTCATTTTTTGTCAGACATATTTTCTCCTCATCTTTCACTTTGCCCACTTATGATGGTAACTCAATTTTTTAACAGAAAAATATTAAACACGCACACATCCTTTAATGGGAAAAATGGAAAAAATATTTTGAATATGAAAGATCATTTGTATATTAATAAACATGCCTAAAAGGAATTATACTGCAAGTGAATTTTAAGTATTTTTCATATAGCATGGGAAAGAGAGAGAGAGAGAGAGTTGGAGAGAGGTATGAATGATGAAAGAATACAAAGAGAAGAGAAAAAGGAAGCAAAGAGCAGAGCAATATAGATCCAAAAGAGAGAAAAGTGAAGACAAATTTGAAGAAGGCAGATATAGAGAAGGTAAGAAAACAGAAGCCAATCAAAGGAAAAATAAAATCTAAATAAGTTTGAAGAAAAAGAGAGAAATAAAATAGATCATATATGTTCAACACAAAAGATGAAAAGAGAAAATATAAAAAGAGGATAAGTAAATAAATTTGAAAACAGGTAAAAAAAAAGGCAGTAAGAAATATGAAAATGCAGAAAGAAGAGCTACTGAAAATAAAATGAAATAAAAAAAAGCTATAAAAGTAAAAGAAAGAAAAGTATGAGATAAAGAACAGTAGTAGATAATAGAATGTAAATTAATGAAAGAACAAAGGTAAAGCAGAAAAAAGAGCCCCAAAATTAAAGGAGTAAAAATAAATTTAACATAACTTAAAGATAATTTCCTGTCTACCATCAGCATGACTGATACTAACCTCCATGAGAGTAACTTGCATCTTTTTGGGTTTACATTCTTGGCTGACATAAAGTGGAAAGATTATATTGAATCCATTGCTTGGTCTGCTGCTAAGAAAGTTGGTTCCCTGTGTTGTGTTAGACAATTTTTTAACTCTGAATCTATTTTACACATTTATAAACCTACCATTTGCCCATGCTTTGAATATTGCTGCTATATATGATCTGGTGTTCCTGTAATATATTTAGAGATTCTTGATAATATTTATTGGTCTTGATCTGGCATTTCAGTTTCAGTCACTTTCCCTTCACCATAATATAGCTTCCCTGTGACTTTTCTACAAATACTTTCATGGTAACTGTTCGGATGAACTTTTTGCTATGATACCTAAACTTTATGAACTTAAACACAGTATTAAATTTTTGGGAAGGTCTTATCAATTCACAGTTGAACTGGCTAGATATAATCTCAAGTTCTATGCCAACAGTTTCTTTTCCTACACTTCTCACTTGTGGAACTCTCTTCCAGCTCCATGTTTTCTAGCCAACTTTGATCTTTAAAAGTTTAAATGCAATGTCAGTTGTTATTTATTGTTTTCTTGATTCCTCTTCTGTTGTTCTTGTTCCTTCATAATGTTTCTCTTTTTCCTTATTTTTTCACACTAAAGTAACTCCTAATGTTTTAGTGGCTTTACTGCCTTGCATGGGATGATATGACAAAAAAAAAAAAAGTAAACAAGCAAAAAGAAGCATAAATAAAATTAGAAATTTGTGCAGTCACTACAAGAAATTGAAAATATGTAACACAGGAAAAGGAGAAAGAAATATAAAAATACACAAGAAAAATGCAAAATAGAGAAAACAAAGAGGAGAAATGGAAAAATTTCCACTTTGTCATAGATTTTCCTAAAATATGTACAGAGTGCGATGGATAAATTTTCATCTAAAATATGCAAAAATGAAAATAACACTGACATTTCATTTTAACAGATATATTTACTAAAATTACAGAAAAATATCTAGAAATACTAAAGAGTAAATTTATTCAATAAAATCGCCATTGGCTTCAACCACAGCCTGCAGACAACTTCAGAATCTCCTGTATCTCTTCTGGATGGTCACTTTGTTTAAGTTGGTGAATGTTGCCATATTCCTTGCCTTCAGTTCATCTTTGGTGTTATAAGGAGTTTTGTTGGTCTCTTGCACAACCACACACCATATATAATAATCAAGGGGGCTGCAGACTAGGAAGTTAGGTGGCCAGATGCAACAGGTGATGTGGTTGCAGAAATTGTCTGACAGTCATGACTGGGTCCTCCTGCTTGTGTGGCATGGTGCCAGACATAGAGTTTTCCAACAGTCAACTTCTTGAACCATGGAAGTACAGCATGCTGTTTTCAAATTTCTGGTTGGGTGAATTGCATCATGGTGCTCTTTTTCTCACAGACAGAACCCAACTGACCCTGCTATACTGTACAGTCAACAAAAACAAACACTGCACATGCATGAAATTAAAAATATAAAATGGTGACAATTTGCACCTTCCACCCTATATATATAAATTTATATATATATGTATATATATATATATACTTTGAAATGTATAGTTCTGGGAATGGTACAGTTAGTATAACTTTCTGAAAGGATTTATTGAACTTTAAAAGAGAAGTCAACAAACTTGTACAATCTATGAGAACTAAATGTAAATATATTACAAGGAAGTGGGTACAAAAAAATTACAATAGAATCACATTTAATTAACTCATGAATAAGAAAAAATGTTGAGGTAATATTAGGCACCATAATTCTACCCAACATTTCCATCATTATTATGTGAAACTTGAAATAAATTAGAGTATATTCGTTGCATTGCAGACTTTTTTAGGCATACCAGTCAAAATTTTACGAAAAACCTTTCTACTATAATCCCTGAGGTAAAAATATCTAAGGTGAAAGTTCAAGTTTGTTTTTTATATTTAATTTTCGTGCCCTTATTTATTTATTGCTTTTAATTAAGATAAATATAACAAGCATGTGCAAAGAACATATTTCTTATATTAAAAATGTCAATAAACATTTGTGAACTGCAATGTTCTATAACAAAATATTTGCAGTCAATTTGTATTATTTCATAGCCAGATGTTATGACTTAGAAATAATCCATTTGCAGATATTGAAAACAGCAGTAGTAATAGTTGTCATAAAAATAAATGGCATTTTATAAGTTATTTTAAAAAATTGTATAAATAATAGGCATCGACATATCATGTTTTAAAATCAAATTGAATTAAACAATTTTTTTATATAAACATCTGTTTTTTTCTTGTTTTATTAATCAATGTACAGATATTGTGCTAAATAAAGATGCAATTCCTTCACAGGAAAATAGAAAATATTATTTTGATTTTTTTTCTTGTGCAAATTTACTTAGGAGTTAGTTTCCTTTTATTTGATCTTGTCTGATTTAATTATCTATATTAACATATGGATAGGCATCTTTACAAACAGTGCATTTACCATGTTCTTTAAATTACCTACCACAGTGAACCCTACCTGCTTCTTATTAGAATGTCTGATGCTCAAATTCATGAGAGCACCTCTTTAAGACTGCTTGGTCTTGCACTGTCCGCTCATCTGAGATGGAACAAATACATTGAATCAATAGCTTCATTTACTGCAAAGAAATTTGGTTCTGTGTGTTGCACCAGAAAGTTTTTCTCACCTGAGTCCATCCTTCAAATCTATAAATCAACCATTCACCCTTGCATGGAATACTGCTGTTATATATGGTCTGGAGACCCCTGCTGTTTGTCTTAAGGTCCTCGACAAAATCCAAGGACAGATATGCAATGTGGTTGGCCCTGATCTGGCATCTTGTTTACAGTTGCTCTCTCACAAATGTGCCGTCACCTCCCTGTCTTTTCTACAAATATTTTTGTGGTAACTACTCCAATGAGCTACTTTTACTAGTTCCCAAACTGCATGAATTTAAACATGCTATTAGGTTGGCATCTCAGTCATACCCTGTCACTGTCGAAATGGCTAAATGTAGCTGTCTCTTCTACTCCAATAGCTTTATGTCTTGCATTTCTCATCTGTGGAACTCCCTTCCTCTTACTTGCTTCCCTCATAGCTATAATATCCAACTATTCAAGTGCAATATCAATCGACATTTTGATCCCCATCTTTCTCTTTATCCTATCCTCTATCATGCCTCTTTATTCTTGCTCCCATTCTCTGTAATCCTTTGTGTGTTAGTGGCACTTCTGCCTTGCTTGGGGTGAAAAGCTTAAAAAAAAAAATAATGACTGCTGAATCAGCAGCAGTAGATTTTGCCATATTTTTTTTAAATAGTCTATAAATATGTTAAGGTGAAAGCCTATTTAATAATTACTCTTTTTAATCCCATAAGAATTTAGTACAACATCCCCTAATCAAGACCATAGGCAAATTATATTGAGACCTAAAAGTCACTCCTTCTGTTTACAGAGGGAAGAAAGTAAATACTCAATGTCTCCGACAATTTCAAGTGAAAGTCCAAATAGAACCAATGCAAATTATTGAATTACCTTTTACGTATAGCAGCTAGCACAAGTTGACTTATTCTCATTTCCAACTTCTGGCTAGTTCTACCTATATAGTCACCATCACATTGAGATTGAAAATGGTTAATAACTAAACTAATATGATGAAAAGACAGAATATCCTAATGGACTGAGCTTAACATCAGTTGGATAGAAAAGGCAACATAGATAACAATATTTCATACTAACAGGGATTTTTTGAGATATTGTAAAAAAAAAAAAGGAAAAATAATATTTTCATAAAGAATAAATAAATAAAAAGAACAAATCAATCTTTTGTGGGTTATTTAAAGTCCAGACATATCTTTTGGATTGTAATTTTTTTTTTGTTAATAACTGCATAAACAATTTTTTGGAGACATAACAATGATTTTACTTCCAGACATGTCTTATTATTTAACTCATAGCTGGGCGGAGAAGAGACAGATTCATACATTTCCCAAAGGCATTTTTCTGTAAATAAATGTAATGAACTCTACTGGAATTTAAACTTTGCTTGCCGATTTCTCATTCTGAGTCGCTACCCATTGCAATGACCATACATCCACAGAAAAAAGTCA